GACAGTCGATCGCCAGGAGCAGGGTTGGGCACCCCTGCTCTAGACAATACACATAATTGGAGGAGCTGGGCAGCTTCTAACTTGACCGCAGGCCATTATCTGTTAGGATAGATAGAGTTTGAATGAATCAGACAAGTTCTGGGAATTCTAATATCAGTAATACAGTTACAGTACTACAAAACTACCTGGTAATTTTGTAAGTGTTGTGCCGTAATAATTTCTTTTAAGATAGGGCTGCATGCGTGACATTTTTATAATATAATAATGGTTATTCATTTAGATTAACAATGGAATTTAAAAATGGAATTTACATTGAAATTAGGGCTGGGCGATTTTTCTGATTTTATTGATTAATTCAAATGTAATGTTTTGCCACGATTTTATTTTTTAGAAATCGAGGAATCGTGATTTTGAATAGAAATATTACCAAAACTTAGAAGTGGAATAGGGAAACAATGCAAGAAGATGGGAGTTGAACTTCTTTTAACTTGAGCGCTGCATTTTTAGAATACAGTTTCATGCATGAGACGCTGCGAGACGCGAGCGCAACAGTCAAACGCGTCCATGTTTACATAGAAAAAACAATGAAAAACAGCACAATCAAATAAAAAAAACAACCTGTAACTACTACTGTATGTCTGATATTTCATGTTTGCATCATGGTGACAGGCTGAAAGCTGCTGTTCATTGTTTTTACAGAACATTTATAGTCTAATCTATAGTCTACTTGTGTATACCTTCAGTAAATTTGAATTTGAATTACCTTGACTTTTGAGAATTTTTTAAAGCATTTTCCACGTATTATTTCTGAACATATAATATGTATAAGACAAGTTTGTACAAGATGTAGTTGCAGTTCATCCATCCATCTTTTCTTCAAAGATAGCAAATGATTTGTTTAACATTTACATCATGCTGACAACTTCATGTGTGGTGCACTTGGAATACAATTTTCTGCAGCTAGAGGGTTAATAAGGAAAAGTTACTTGAATCATGTTGTAGTTACATTTTCAAGTTGACTAGTTAAAAATCGAGACCAATTGAGAATCGGTCAAACGTTTTGGAAAAAATCAAGATTTACATTTTTTTGCCATATCACCCAGCCCTAATTGAAATTGAAACATATTTTGTTGTGAAATCTGATCCCAAAGAAACTGTTACTGTAAGTTTCCTCCTTCCTGTCCATCTTACACAGTCTACATTGCAAGTGAGCAATGCAACACCTAATGAATTCAAAATTAATTCTAGATTACCACAGTTGTTTTTCAATTTGGTTCTAAAACTTCTTTTTGAGCATTTCTTAAAAAGAAGTGAAACTTAAAACATGAATATGTGGACACATCGGTGATCATTGCAATGTTCACCTTCTGCAAAACACATGTTGCAAATAAAATATTTTGATACAATTAAAATTCTATTTTTTTTAAAAATAATTTTATTCAGCAAGGATGCATTAAACTGATAAAAAAAAGTAAATAAAGATTTTTACTTGGTTACCAATAAATAAATAAATAATTACATATTATTACAAATAAATGCTGTTGTTTTGAACTTTGTATACATCAAAGTACCCTGAAAAATGTATCTTGGTTTCCACAGAAATATGTAATAGAACAACTGTTTTCAACACTGATCATAATAAATGTTTAAAAAGCACCAAATCAGCATATTTAAAAGATTTCTGAAGGATTGTGTGACTCTGAAGACTGGAGTATTGGCTGCTGAAAACGTACACTTTAAAATACATTCAAATAGTAAGCGGTTATTTTAAATTGTAATAATATTTACAATATTTCTCAATGTTACTGTATTTTGTATTTAATAAACACAACGTAAGAAACTTTCAAAAACATTACAAAAATCTAACAAAACAGTAGTGTATGTATGATTAATAATATCTATATTTTTCAAATAATTGTGCAGACCATGTTGGACTAGCTTCACACTTGCTCTGTGTAAACAATGTTGTATGTGAATAAAGTATGTCGAAAAGGGAATCATACATTCCAAAGCCCAAGCCAAGATATCCTACCTGGATGGTTCTAGAGGTTCTGCGGGTGAAGGTAGGGGCGCCTGGTCCTTCTCCCAGGTGACACTTGGGGTGGGCAAGCCATCTACATAGCACTCAAACCGGGCAGTGCCACCTACTGGCACAACCTGAGGTTCAGGATCCTGAAGAGGTGTGAGCATCTGAAATTACAAAGCTATTCAGGAATAATGAGAAATATTCAGCCACTGACGGAAAAAGTCACTTTACAACAACAAAAAAGTAGAATATGGACTGAAAACTGTTTAAATGAGGCTCCCTTCCCCCGTGACTGTCACCACCGAGTGAGTAATAATGAATAAGATCATTATCATGATAACTGTAAGTGTGTGAGTGCTACCGAGAGTCACTGTTCCTCAGAGCAGCTCACCTCCACATGCTGCAGCACCGAGGATCCCAGTCATGCAGATGACAGATAACCGGGGTAAATTGCAAAACCATGTACTCGCATCCCTCCCCTGGTAGAGACCTTCACTGCACTGATTTCTCAATGGAGGAAATGGTCTCTCTGTTTGGACTGTTTCCAATCCCAATACTGTCTCCCTGTCTAGTTCATTCTCAAAATACTGTGACAAAAATTTACAGTCAAGAAATGTCTTTCTGTCTTTATATGTATATCTCTATAGTATCTCTTACTTATTTTACTTTTTAGTGTGTTAAAAGCCCCCATTAGTGGGTGTTAAAAGCACTCTTTTATATTAAATAAAATAACCTTTATAATGATTACCCTATTAAAAAAGTAAAATATTTAAAATACATTTATTTCATACTAAGTTCTAATCTATTAACATATTTACTGACACATCGCTTGAGACGTACTAATATAAAAATTGTAATTAAGCTTTATTTGGAGTACTACTTGTGAACAATGCACATTTCTTAAAGGGGTCATATGATGCTTTTTTAAAGATCATTATTTTGTGTATTTGGTGTAACAGAATATGTTGACATGCTTTAATGTTCAAAAAACACATTATTAAGCCGAAAATGTGTTTTAATGTCACTATTGATGAGGACTGTATGATTGTTGAATAACATCAGTCTTTAAATGCAAAATATTTAAAGTGTACCTGAAATATAGTTCCACTTTAGGACAATCAAATATACTTAGTATATCTTCAGTTGGACCTCAGCGCTACGTCCGCACAATTTAAAGTGTATTAAGTACAAAATTAGTTTAAGTATACCAGTTTAGTATACCAAAAGTACAACTGCAGGGTATTTTTATTAAGTATATGTAAATGTATTTGTAGTATACTTAAACTTATAGTATACAAATACAGTACATTTCTTTTTTACTAGGGTATTGATGTTATTTATGTAATACATTATTTGTATGTCAAATTCAATTTCTACTTTTCATTTCAACATGACAGTTTCCCACCACCATGCGAAGCAACTGTTTCCCACCACAAAAAAATCACCTTATATAATAAAATAAAATGAAATAAAACATTAACTACTTTTGTTGCCCTTTATGATAAATAATGAGAACATGTTTCTAATTTCCATGTAATACCAACATGGCATGCTCTCTCTCTCTCTTACACTAAAACTGCAATGTCCATCAGTTCCTAAAGCAGAGATGGCAGGTATCATTACTATCTACAAAAAAGTAATAAAGTAAAATTGAATGAACAGAAATAATGAAGGAAGACAGAGTCATGGCCAATGAAATACATAATGACTAAAGGAAATGGTCTTTATCGTCTAGTGGGTTGCATTAAACACAAAGAGAAAGAAAAAAAAGAAAGAAGGATGTAAAGAGATAAAGGGGCTAATGTCTGATCTCTTTGTCCCTCCTCAGACTCTTCAAAAAGCACAATCGAGTCCTTGTGCTAACCAGGTGAGAGCAGCACTCAGATCCAGCCAAGCAAAGACAACCAAGTGGAATGTGGCAGAGAGAGAGGGCCAGAGACAGAGGATAATCCTAACCCTTAATACAATATAATATACGTGTCAACACCACTTTTTAAGTGTATAATATAATATTTTATCAGATGTTTATCAGATATGTGTACACAGTAATTAGAATGTGATGCTTTCCAGATGATGCAGAATTAAACACAACCAAAAACTTGAACACTGGCTGGCCTCTAAAGTTTGAAAGAATCTGGTTCTTTGATCTCTCTTAGACCCACAGCTGCTGTGCGTTGGACATAAATCAGAGTAGAAAGTGTTTATACTCACTGGCGAGATGCAGGGTGAGAGCCCGGCTGGTCAGGGCTCCTGTCGAGCTGGTACTTAGGCAGCTGTATCCACCCTCCACACCCGCTGGAGCCTGGCCATCCGTGGAAGAGGGCGAGATGAGCAGAGATCTGTTGGGCAAAGGCCGGATGGTCTGGCTTTCTGAGAGAACTGCCCCATCCCGCAGCCAGGTCACGTTGAGGGGAGGCTCACTGGCCCCCAGATGGCATTCCAGCAGCAGAGGGTGATCAGGCTCCAGAACCACATGGACAGGTCCGGCACCACAGCTCAGCTCCACGGATACAGGCTTCTCTAATTAGTGTGTGAGAGGGGGAGAGAAAGAAAGAAAGAGCTGATGTTACAATCTCTGATGAACAACAGACAGCATGAAAAAAGAAACCCAAAAGAAAATGATCAGCAAAAACGGTTTATAACAGTCAAATTCACCTTTTTATTGGATTCAAAGAGCAATTTTGGTAAATAAAGAAGTATAAATTCTATTTAAGTAACAATGATTTTATTTAAAAAATGTAGAATTCTATAAACTCTTCCCCTAATGTATCTTAGGTAATAAAAAAATTAAAAAACACACTTCAGAAAGTAACCTGAAAGGAAATGCATTATCTGCATGATCATAAAGGCTACTTAGAATACATCACAAAGTACAGTACAAACATAAGTCACCTGATATGGGGAGAAGGGTCTGGCTGCAGACTTGCACTTGCACTCTCAGACTTGCTTTCTAGAGGAGGAAAACGCTTAGCGAGAGACTTTGTGCATTGCGTTTATATTCTGCTGTTCTGTAGCCACGGATTTGCGGGTCTTGTCTTTTTCTTGCAGGACCCTGTACGTTATAATATAAAATTAGTTTTAATCGTTTAATCACCACAGCTTCTTGTCTCCATTGGCAACACGCACGATTTGTGTCGATTGCAAGTGACGTCGCAGGTATCGGAGAGTGCAAGTGGCGATTGCAAGTGACTTCGTAATTTAGTTTCTTTTGTCTTGTCTTCACCACCTGGCTACTGTTGTAAAATGTTGAGAGATTCAAACAAAAAGAATAAATAAATAGAACAAAATAAAAAAATAAAGACTGCAAGTGACGTCGCCAGCGGAAGTGCAAGTGTCTGAGAGTGCAAGCGCAAGTCTGCAGCCAGACCCTTTTGTGGATATGGGAGGGATATTTTGAAAATATATTCCTGTATATTATTTACTAAAATATAACCACTTAATCCAAATGTCATATTATAATATGAAGGTAAAATAATATGGCTGCTTTTAATTGCTTTTGTATTGCCACAATGCCACAAATCATTATAAGAGGTAAGCAGAGGGGTCTTTAAACTGAGGGGTCTTTATCTATCGATAAGCCCTTTTGAAAACATGAATCAATTCATTTAAAAAAAATAAATAAAAGCAAATCTGCATTCCATTTAGTGTTCATCTCTCCTTCCTTACAACAACTTAGTTTGTACAAAATAGTTTTGAGTGTTATATCTACATGGACTTTTTCCTTGCCATTGTTGCCCAAGGCAACATTCTTTGTGAAGCTGCTTTAGAATTAAATTAATTGTGAAAAGTGCTATAAAAAATACAAATGTAGGAAATACATTTCAAACGAATTGAAAGTGTTCAGTGTATGTCAATAGTTAAGTGTAGTTTAATTTAAATCTTAGAATAGAATAGAATAGTTTTGAACTGGCTGAATGGCCTCTAAAGCTTGAAATGAGTTGGATTAGAGCTCACCAACACCCACAGCTACTCTGTGATGGAGCTGAATAGAGTATAAAGCGTTTATACTTGGTGGTGAGATGCAGGTCGGTGAACTGAACTGAAATGAAAATGTTCTCTCTGGGTGTAGAAATGCGTAACATTACTCTAACAATAGGTAAAAAAAGAATCATGAACTTAAAGGGTTAGTTCACCCAAAAATGAAAATTCTGTCATTAATTACTCATGTTAATTACTCATGCCTCATGTCGTTCCAAACCCATAAGACCTTTGTTCTTCTTCGGAACACAAATTAAGATATTTTTGATGAAATCCATGAGCTTTCTGACCCTCCATAGACAGCAAGGATACTACCACGATCAAGGCACAGAAACGTAGTAAGGACATCGTTAAAATAGTCCATGTGACATCAGGGGTTCAACCGTAATTTTACGAAGCTACGAGAATACTTTTTGTGCGCAAAGAAAACAATAATAACGTAATTTATTCAGCAATTCTTCTCCCCGAGTACCCCAGAACGTAATCAGTGTTGTTTACGTTCAGTAGAAAGCGTGCATGCTGAACATAAACAACGCTGATTACGTTGATTACGTTCTGGGGTACTCTCCAAAATGGCAGAAGATGGTAACTCGGGGAGAAGAATTGTTGAATAAATTATGTTATTATTGTTTTCTTTGGGCACAAAAAGTATTCTCGTAGCTTTGTAAAAATACGGTTTTACCCCTGATGTTACATGGACTATTTTACCGATGTCCTTGCTACGTTTCTGTGCATTGATCGAGTAAGGACGCTTGCTGTCTAT